TCTCACGTGCACGTGCAGCTGGATAGAACAGGTGGAATTTACGCAGCTCATTTACACACTTTTCCTGAAGATAGAAGAGTTTGTTGAATCTGACATGACATGTTCGTACGAACCCTTTGTACGAACAAAAGTAAGAGAAATTTAGGATAAGAATACGAACATGTTCTTGTATGAGGCCCAATCTGTCTGCTTTAAAAGAGGCATACTTTAAGTAAATGTTATAAACCTGTCAGTGAGCACTTTAGAGGGAATGACATCAGACATCCTTGAAATGTCAGCATTGTAATCATAAGAACAACTATGAAAAGCAACCAAATGGATGAGGAAAACTGAAGGGTGGAGGAATAGACACGATGCGTCTGTTTATATTTTAGGTTTTGTAGTCTTACTCTGAAAGAACCTTTGAAAGTACATTGCAGTTGTGTTTTTGTGGTAAATTCTGGTATTTTTAATTTAGTTGAAGGTTGAAAATGAAAGAAATTGTAGGTTTATTGCAAATTATTTCAGTTTTTTTAAGTATTAAATGGATCTTTTGAAGCCCTTTGGTGTAGCCGGGGGCACTACAGGCAGAAATATATATATAAAAATTCTTCTACAATAATTATACCACCTAAAATCGGCTGCAGCTCAAGGGAGTATAAAACATGGTCTACAAGATCCAGTTAGAAATTTTTGAGAAAAAATAAATAAATTTTTGAGATCAAAGTGGTTTTAAAACAGCAGCATTGTGATTGTGTCTTGGCTCAAGCTAGTTGTTAACTCAACAATCTGGTCAGCATTAAAGTTTATTTCTTTAACACAGACAGTTTAACAGTCACGTGGTTTAATGTCTGTTAGCGAGTCCTTTCTTTCTTTTTTCTTTTTTGTTAGATATCTTCAGACATGTTATGCTGTGTCCATAGGCGTAATTTGCAGGGGGCTTAGGTGGGTTATGACCCCCACAATAATTTGATAATTTGAAAATACCCCTCCCCCCCCCCCCCAAAGAAAATTACATCGTTTGCTCAAACACAAAATAAATTAACTGGTTAAGTAGACAGATGCAACTCTCTTGTTGTCTTTAGGTAACTTTAACCTGATTAAAAAATGACAATATGTATGTTTAAGCATAACTGCTAAAAATGACACACATGGTTTCAGAGCATAACCCCCGAATGATAGACCTAAAATTACGTCCTTGGCTGTGTCACATTTACTGAGAGTGAAATCAGCCCTGCTCTCTCTCCTTCCTTACCTCATCATTTATGAAAGGTTGTGAATTTGCTCTTAGCTGCTAAGCCAGTTTAAGAGGATCTCCTAAGCCTGACAGCACTATTAAGAATATACCTTAAATAAACCTCTAACACCAGTTTAGCTGAGTAAGGCCACAAATTCTGATTGTCAAAACTGTRCAGTAAATTAGACTCTAGTTTTGCATCTGGCAGGTTCACACGCTGAACACTGATTGGTTGTTTCTCAAATAATAAAATATCTGGATGTCACCTTCTCGGCTCAGGCGATGAGGCTCAGGAAGCTGGCGCAACAGATCGCGGGTTGTAAGCAGTGCATCGAGAGGTCCTCCTCCCTCATCACTCAGGCTGACCAAACCCTCAAAGAGAGCGACCACGCTCGTTTCCTTCAGACAGCTAAAAGTATCTGTGAGAGGTAAAGGAACAGTGAGCGCTAACCCCAAAACAAACACGTGAGGCGCAGTGGATGAAAGGGATTCCACTTTCTAATTTATGTTCTCTTTATTATAGAGTGTCGATGGCCACAGCATCATCACAGATACTGTTACCAGAAATAAACCTGAATGATGCCTTTGATACTTTTGCTCTGGACTTCACGAGGGAGAAGAAAATGCTAGAAAGCCTAGATTACTTGACAGGTGAGTCAGGTTGTGCATGTAAAGTCAATATTTTCTTGCCTGCATGWAAATGAGTGCAATTAATTCCCTGAGTATAATGAGCTTAATTACCCCACTACTTTGTAACTATGTTTTGCAGCTGAACACTATAATTTATTTTTGAATGAGTTGTTTATGTTTCTGTATTTAAAACATGCCCATGAAATTATCCACACGTTGTGCCTGAATCACAGACTTGGACAATTTAAAGGCCCTGGCATGGGTAGAAGCAGCTGGTTTAAATCCAGTCATGATACTGAGTTGCAGAAAGGAAAATACAAAATYAAAAAGCTCACTGTTCTTGGCAACAGTAGTTTTATTTTCTGCAGAATGAAACAGGTTTTGATTGTTTATATTCAGCTCCTGTTGAGCAGTGAGAATTTACCTCTGCATGGCAGCTGTAGTTGCAATAGCTGGAGGAACTCCAGTGTAGATTAATTTCACTTGTCAGACAAGGAACAAAAAACAAAACAAWAATCACTGTGATATTTCTCCACCACTGGTTGCTACAGGGCTTTTATTATACTGGGCTTTCCTAACTTTGTATGTGGATTTTGTTGTTTTCTTTGCAGCACCAAATCCACCAGTAATTCGTGAGGAACTTTGCACAGCCTCATACGACACCATCACGGTTCACTGGACATCAGATGACGAGTTTTCTGTTGTATCATATGAGCTTCAACACGCCATATTTACCAGCCAATGTAATGTTGTCAGTAAGTTTTATTTTTATTTTTTTTAAAACATTACAGTGACAAAGAGATTTGTACAGTGCCTGTCCAATGACATTGGATTAAAAAAAATAGTAGAAATGTGTAGCACACATTTTTATCTTGGGGCCACAAGATCATTTTGAACAGCCTTGTCTCGTTGTGAGAGATACAGACATTTTAGGAGTCAGTTTTTTTATTGTTTGTTGTTTTTATTTGTTTACGTATTTGTTTTTTTATGGCACGGTAGCTCAGTTGGTAAAGCTGATGCCTCTCAAGAAGAAAGTTTCTGGATCAAATCCTGGCTTGTGTGTTTCCTCCGTGCATACTCTGGCTTCCTCCCACAGACCAAAAACATGAATGTTAGGTTAAGTGGTAACTCTAAATTGTCTTTAGGAGTGAGAGAGTGAATGGTTTTTTGTCTCATTTGTCTATGGCCCTGTGATGGACTTGTGTGACCTGTCCAGGATGTACCTTGCACAGTGAATGGTAGATATGGGCACCTGTGACCATGAATGGAAGAAATGGATGTAGATAATGGATGGATGGATATTGCTTTTTTAATTTTTTTATTTATTATAATTTTTTTGGTGTATTTTTTATTCAAAACAGTTCATCTTCCATAGTATTTATGAGATAAATGAC